AGAACTATTATATAGTTGTTATTATTACTAATACCATAGCAATCATAATCATAATTGTAGCGATATGTAATTATAGTTACAAATACCAAAAAGTATTTCTCTCAGTGTATGAATTATACAGATGTAACATCTGAGTTACGTTGTCCATATGCGCGTGGTATGATATTTTAATTTTTGTTAAAATTGAGTTGCTTCGTTACATTTCTTCAACGAGATAGAAAACAAGACGAACGCATCATGAAATTAGTCGCGTAGGAAATTGTTTGTACGAGGAACATGGACACGCTTGTCAGTGTCGTAAAATGGGCGTAAGGCACCGCAACGTCAAGATCATACTGGAACACGGAGATGCAGCGGAGTTTTCCGCCCAGGCGTCTGACGAGCATTAATTACAGACAACGCATACGACGATGTCGACACGTTATCGGCATTGTTATTCATGATCACCTGTGGGTTCCTGGAAGGATGGACGCGACAGTCCGTAACATCCAGGACACCATAGGTGATCCTGGTCTCTGAATGCTACGACGACCTTCTGACACTTACGATTAGCGAATGTCTGGCAGCATGTTTCCCTAGTTAGGCATGTTACATGCTTTATTATCATCTCGAACTGACAGTCAGCGGTCTCTGATAAATGATAATGAAGTCGATCGTTTAATTGATGTATGTGATTATCCGCCAGTGTATTATAGAGGTTGATTATATCGAATTTGTCGTAACTTTGAGGACGACACTTCAATTTTTATTAGGTTAACGTCCGTTTCCTTCTATATAAATTTACGTTAATCTCGGTTCAACTTACTTTTAATCTTTTGTTAGTTCTAAGAATTAGAAAAACATAAAGAGAAAGTTGACCCGAGATTAAAGTTAACCTATATTAGCAGAAACGAATATAAGTCGATTATTTTTCGTCGTGAGTAGACTAAAAATTTTTGCCTTTCTACGTATAAAAATTATTTTCTGCACAATGATAGAAAATTTTTAGTTTAATATATCTTGATTAAGCGGTAAAATATTCCAAAGAATATCCCTTTTTCCAATTTATTATTTTTATGTACGTGAGATTTGTGCAGATTTATGCACAATGGAAAATTGTGCTTTGAGCTTGATGCGATAATTTTGATACATTAAAAGTCACATACATAATTTTAATATATTAAAGTCAATATTTATTGCGCATTGTAATGCACGCATATTTAACGTATGTATTGCGGTTTATGGTGAGAATTCTGACACGGGAGGTGCTCGAGTAAAATTATTGCCCGTCAGATTTAGAAAGGAGATGGCGGTAGAAATATTCTAGTGTACTGTAAGTAAATCGGGCAATTCATTGGTGAAACGATCGCTCTGATACTTAAAAGACTATTAAGAACTTAATGATTACTAGCTGTCATCCGTGAAAATTTATAATGTAATATAACGAACTATAAGAATACTAATGCATTTTCCGAATAAAAAGTTCATATACCGAAGATGTAAAATTAAATAACGAATAATTTATTTCCATCTAATTCGATAAAAATAGAAATTCTTTTCAATTAATTACAGTTCGGAGAAATCGATATTCTAAAATATTTGAAGTAAAAGTATACTAAATTGATTTTAAAGTTTATGAATTAAAGAAAATATCGTGAATTTGAGCTATTTCGTACACATTCGTGCAAATGTCAAATTATATTATTTACGCAAGCTTATATATACAAGCACAGTGCTCGAACTTTACGTATATCGCGAGTTGGTTTCGTATTAAATTTATATGGTTCAGAGAGCAACTCTGATAATCCACGTTCGAAATTACGCAGAATACAACCTATATAGTGGAGCTTGGCGTTCAGTTTCGAATTATCGACCATTCTCGAGTGCATCGATAGAATCCATTGTTGGTTCATGCACTCAAAGTGGAAGCGACATTCGCGGAGACGAGCGGAAGACTCTGGGCGATGAACGGATGGACATTCGGAATCGTGTACGAGCTTAGACTAACCTCCTCCTCTGTCGAAATGACCCCCGCTCTCTCGAGTCGAGGTTCGATGTGGCTTTCGGGGGGACGAGATATCGCATTATTCCCGACTGAATGGGGTAAATCAGGGTCTCGTAGAGTTCCAACGTGGAATCGGCGGTTCTCTCGGATCGCTGATGTCGAGAGGATGAGGGTTAGCTGGCGGCAGCGGCTGCCTTGGGAATTCAATTATACCTATGGAACAATGGCACCCGCGCTGGTAATGAAGGGACCGTCGCCGGGAGGTCATCAGATTACGTGGTATTTACAATATATAAGCCGGATGGTTGGCGGATGAAGAGGGCTCTTGGCGGCATTTCTTTCTCGCAGCTCAATTCGCGCCTTTTCCCACGAGACGCCGTATATATAGAGAGTTAATTCGTGAGACGGACGTGGATTAGCGTCAATTTTTTAGATAGCTATAGCGGATGAAGTGGTTCATACTGCATAAAGTCTTTTCAGCACAATTCATACTCTGTTGAGAGACTGCGTCTTTCATCGCAGGCGATTTTGCGCACAAATACCGTTAATTAAAGATATTTATTCCATTTTGCCCTGCTGCGTCGAACGGATAGTTTCTATCCGAGTTATTTATCGCAATGAACAAGTAGATAATCTCGCTTTGGTTGGTGCTCGGGAACAATTCCTCCGTGAATTTACATCGATAAACGCGACGCGCGTTACGACACAACCCATTCGATGCACTCTACGCTGTAGCGTTGCAAATTGGATGAAATGGTAGCTGCGCAAACGCGCTGTTCGTCGAGACTATGTTACGCGATAACTCTTGACACTAACGTTGGTTTACGGCAGATATTCGTTCGGCGAACGGTTCGGGCAAATGCCTAAATAAATATCGGCTTGGCGTGAACGAGGTAGAGAAAATGTTGCAGAGCGGAAATATTTAATCGTCTTTGACCAGGACGGAGAGAGAGAGAGAGAGAGAGAGAGAGTAAGAGGGATTCGCAATTACGTTAGGGGTAAGAGAAAGCACGGGGGTGGTCTAACGGTCCTGGGTCTCTCGCTCGATCGACCATGCGTTTAGAACCGGGAATGGATTCCATCAATAACCTCTTTAAAACGGGCTAAATTCATTATCTGCCCTGTATTCGACGGCCGTGCGCATCGGCTTTTCTACATTTCCTTTTCGTCCCTTGAAAGGAAGTTGCGATCGCATTGTCATTCCCACACAAGGGGTTGCAGCAATACCTAAAGCAATCCGATCCAAGGCACATTATCATGCGTCACCCTTTGAAATGTGAAAAAAAATTTAAAAAATGCAAAGAGTTAACACAAACATTGCATTTTTATTTCAAGCTATTCAATCATTTCATCTTAATTTATTATGCCTTTGTATGTTTCAATTACGAAAGCTAATCAGTTCCTTTGTGCCTAACATCGTCAAGGAGTTGAAACACGCGAATGATTTATTCTCATTTCTCATTCGCAACAGTCGTGTATATTTTTCTCTTCTTGTCGTGCACGACGAGAAAGAAATATTCTTTCGGACGGTATTTATGTACGTTCTGTGAAATATATTTAAAATATTCAGGACTTGTTTAGTGGAGAGTATTACCGCAACAAAAGAAATACAGAACGCTGTCGCTGCGACTCTCCTCTTTGTGCGTTGTTGAAGAACTGGGGATTGGAATTAACATGGGATCCGGAGTGCGTTTCCACTGAGGGAGAATCGGGTGTCTCGTTAATATGGATTTCACTAACGATCCGACTAATTTGTACGCTCTTTTTCATTCGGAAAGGTATCCCTCCGTAAAATAGTAAACGAGACGAAAATGCTGAAAAGACGTCGTAAGGACAAAGGATACAACGAGGGATCAATGTTCGTTGTACATTGGCGTGGATCTGTCCATCCGTGGAAAGCCTAATGGCCGACTCAGCATACATTTGCATGTGAATGACCACAAAGGTGTTTAGATATTACGGTATATATCCCATATGCGGCTTTTCTATTAGACAGGTAGATGAGATAACGTCCGATGTCAAAAATATAAGGACAATTAGGTCACGAGAGGGGGAAAAACATCTTGACAGCATGACAGCACGTGTCATTGCACCCTCGAGATGTACTGATTGACTATCTGATCCGACGTATGTATGAAATGCATTCATAATCAGAAAGTCTCGCAGCGATTTTAATATTATTCTATAAATAGAATTATAGCATTACGTTTGTATATTAATTATTAGAAAGCTTATCACTATTGATTTAACTTTAAAAACTAATACGAAAAAAACATTATTCAAAATTATAATAACGTGTCAGACATAATTAATTTTTTAAAAAAGAAATATCAATTAAAAACGCTTTGTTTTATTTTCCATTCTTTGCTTTTACTGTTTTAAAAGGAATGCTTTTTATAAACATATAATATTGATATATAATATTGATATGATATTTTTGTATTTTTAATGCGTTAAAAATACCGTGACAATTTATTCTAATTGCAAATTGGATAATTTAACATGTCTATCGATTGTTTTTGCACCGACCAAGCGATGACACAATGGACACGACAAAGTCAAAACCTGCAATCGCGGAACTTGGACCGTCGATTAGGCGATCCGTACACGTCTGCATCGAGTCGTTTCCCCTCGTTAAGGAATGTAGGTGGATGAGAGGGCGAAGATGGCGTGCGGATTGCGGAAGCAGTCGCGAGCGTTTTCGCGCTTCGCAGCCGCAGCAGTTCGAAGTTGCCATTCGGAGCACGTAGATTGCTAACCTAACTTGTTTAGCGGTTTTAGCGGTATTTGATTAGTTGAGTGAATTTCCGAACTGTTTCAGACCGCCGCCCGCTCACTTGGCCGGACTGGAAATCGGACGAGGACAAACCTTCGGTGAATTCGATAGATATACGGAGATATATCGGTGACGCGGTTCTCTCTCGTGAAGTAAAATTGTCCATCGCGACGAGGAGTCCGGAGATGTATTTTTACGTTATATTTTAGAGCGTAATATTATCGAACGAAATTGGCTTACCTTGCGAGTAGTTCATGTCCTTCTTTCATGTACCTCGATGGTCACTCCTTGCCGGAGTCGCGGTTACACAAGGATAAGTCGTCACCTGGAAGGGATAATTGAATTAGAATGTAAAATGCTTATTAAATTTGGAGATTAAATTCGATATACTTAAGAAATAACAATGATAAGTATGATTTTCAATGCACAAGATACGATAGAGAAAATGAGAAGATTTTGAAACAATTTTATTTATAAAGGAGATTGTAAGAGTACATATTTGTACATAAAGAGAGGACGCTTCATCGACGATCACAAAACTAGGATAAACACGGCACGTAATACGCTGATTCGATCGCAGGTAATCATACGTCTCGCGCGGTCCAGCATACCATAGGAATTCTCGGTATTCGAACTATATCTAGGCGTTACTATGGTTGATGACGTTGGATCAAAGATAATATTGGTTCACAGTCAGGGATCGGGTGTGTTATATCCGTGTTCAAAGTTCGCTCTTCGCGACCGCAGCGATTTCGAGGACGATAGCCGAAACGTGAAATAAAGAGGATATTCGGCGGCGGCGACGACGACGACGCTGACCCTCGCGAGTAAATTAGTTCCGGAAACTATTTCCAAGCCGGTTTAACGTCCAACGTATAACCAGCAATCTCTCGTACGTAAGCTGGGAAACTCCCTTCGTCCGTAATACTACCGAGCACATTCTGAAAACGTATAACTGAGGCAATCCTTTCTTGGCAACGGCGAACAAAACGTGATTTAAACGAAATATCAATCGTAACGAGATGCTTTTTTTACACATTCGAAGATGGGTCGAATCTAATATTGTCTTAAAGGAAATATAATTTTACAGTTTTTTTAACTGAAATTAAAAATGTGCGAAAGTGTGACGGTATCAGTAAAAATACAGATTGCACGCAGTTATCGATTAAGCTGGAATATCGCTTCCCTTTTCAACGATTGGAAATCGAGATATGAATGGCGGGAAAGAGGAGTGGTTACGTAGAACCGCCAAAGTCCGTTAGCAGCGTGCAATATACGAGGACTTATTACATAACTGAGCCAATTTTACCGCAAACGGTTTGTCCATCTGGCGAACTAATTAGCAACTTGCGATACAGAACGGTGCCGGTTCTCTAATAACGGTACATATCGGCAGCGTTTTATTCGACGTATATGTAAGCCATAACACATTTGTAATTTCCTCCTAACACCCAGCTTTAATTACATTACCGATTTATACGTCTGATAATAATCCTTTTGCGTTATACTCTTTACTGCCGATTTGTAGCGCTCGTGGTGGAAAATACGCAAGTAGATCGCACGATTGATATGACTGGCTCTTTCCAAATTATTCGTTACTATATTGCGCATCATACTGTAAATACACTCTATTAACAAAGATCCTGGCAATGTTTGCTAGTAAAGTACCTACAATATATCTCTTGAAAATCGTACAATTGCAACATCTTTGTCAAATTTTAGAAACGTTAATAAGTAATTATAGTCGTTGTCGGATAATGATTTAATTTCGGGGCAGATGAAAGAAAGTTTTGATAATTAACGTGCAAATATAAGAAACAAAATTCGCGACAAAACTTGACGTTCAGTAATAGATTTAAAAGCTTCATGAACAGAGTCCACGGTTATACGATGCTCTTAGATTCTATTATTTCTTTCGAGAACTCGGGGTCACCAGTAGAAAATGAGAGTTTAAAAATGTATGTTAACGTAGAAGAAAATATCACGCTTCTTTGGAAATGAAGTAGATTCGTCTAGTATGTCTATTTGGAGATATTTATTCACCGTGACGGATTCTGCTTTTCGCGCGATGGCGAGGAGGGAGAAACAATTAGAGTGAAGTGGCCAAAGTTTTCTCAGCAAATATCACTTACGAAAATACAATCGAGACTCGTCGCAATCGAAGGATGCATTGTGGGACCGTGGAAAATGGCGGTCGGAAATAATCGGATAATGTTGCTCGCGCTAGGACGTCGGGATGAGATGGGGAAGCGCCGAGGAAAACGGGAAAATAAGAGAAGGGAAAGACACTCACGGATATGATTCGATACGCTTAAGATAAATTGATACGAGATGGATTATAAACGAAATATATATAGGGTTGTATGAAGCACGACGAATGGGTCAACCGTTTGGAAGTAACAGTCGATGAAGCAAGCACTACTGTTAGGAGATTGTTTTTATTTTGCCGGTAGACATACATTTACGATGTATAGAATATCGTTTCCAAAAAGAATCTTTAAACTTCAAGAAAAATTTTACAAGAAAAATATTTTATTTCAAAGAAATATTTTTCAAAATGAGAGACAGAAATAACGATTAATTATAAAAGAGAAACATCTTTTGCAAGAGCATTTATTAACGTGCAAATGTAAGACAAAATAATTACTAATTAATAATACAAATTTTGAATATGTTAACTTAAATATTAGCAGGCAATGCTATAACCGTTGCACAAAAATGTTGCTTCTGAGAATGAGTATTTTAAAGTTCAATAAGGAAATATAGATATATCTCGTGTGCGAAATTTTGCCGCAACTATAATACGGATCAATCAATTTTCATGAGTTTTCGAGGCAACGCGCTCTGGAAGTATTCACGAAATGAATTCACGGAAGGCGGGTATAGGATTCTTTATCGGGTCGGTTATTCCCAGCAGTATGGGCGAATAAGGTCTGACCATTTGCAGAATAAAAGGTTTAGGAGACCGTCAGGGATGTTGGGTCATGTATGTATCGGTACAGCCCCTTACGATAAAGCCAATGCACTTCGTGCGGCCGCTGACGTGCGGCCGAAGGATAAATTGAATTATCATAAAGAAATTGCGTCCGAATATTTCGTCCGGTTCGTACGCTATACGAGTAGATGAGAAGGCGTCGATAGCTTTTCCAATATCGCCGCGAGTCGCACCGGGGACCTGGGCACCGGGAATTTTAAGAATGGAGACTTTTCCTTCGATTTCTAGCACACAGACCTGCACAAACACGCGCTCTAAATCCTATATGTACGATATTTACACTCTTGCGAGGAGCCGACAGAAGAATCGCGAAGGAGAAAAAGAGAAATCGGTTTGCACTTCGAATCTTTATCACAATGTCAATTGTCTGCGCCGTTTCTCGAAACGAGAATGTACCAAAAAACTATTCTGAGTAAGTACGGTCAAATTTAGTCGTCAGTATTCTTGAGAAACTTAGGCCCTGCAGACAATGGAGGAAATATTAGGAACAGGAATAGATATTAAGATTTTAACCTATCAGATATCAGTTACACCGGAATACACAGTTTCTGATAGATTGAAATCTTAATATCTATTCCTGTTCTTAATATTTCCTCCATTGTGCGCAGGGCCTAATATTCCTTTCTCACTATGTACGCACGCGTGACAAACATTTGGACATTTAGGAATTTACAATTAGAATCTACTAGATTTATTTTTCCACTATAACGAATTTCCCCTATAACTAATTATAAAATGAAGAGGAGAGTGTGAAATTGCAAATACGGAGTAAACGTGAATAATATTATTACAATATATTAGAGTAGTGATAACCTTTCATTTCCAGCATCCAGTAATAGTCCGTATATGCTTACAGTCAGTGTCACACTAGTGAATACCATCACATGTTTTCGATAATAATTTTAAATAAAAACAAAGCCGATTCAGCGTTGCCACGCATAACGGTGAATAATTCCAAACGACAAAGGTTTTGTTTTTTGTTTAAAATTATAGTTTATATTAATATACCTCTGAATGTTAATTATTGTACTTTAAAGCCAAATAACTAAAGCTTTTGATTAAAGGCTTCTATTAATTGTTTAAGTAATTGTCCGTTTATTTAACTTTTCTCTTATCTGTTTACAGTTTCTCTATTCGCCTTTAAACAATAATTAATAATAACTACAATAATAATTAATAATAATTAGTAATTAATAATTAGCAATTAATGCTACATAAAATACAGTATATGATTATTTCAGATCAGATTGTAAAAGATTTAATCGTTGTTCTAAATTCAAAGAACTACAATGTTTTAAATGTAATGTTTCACGTTAGATATAATTCGCACGAATTGATATTATCTTTGTGTGTATTCGTATGCAACATATACGATACGTATTCGGATACCTCGGCATATCGATATATCGCTTAATTTTAACTATATGAACGGCGTATATAATGTAAGCCCAATATTCTAGAATACATACAAGCGGACGCCATACGTTGCATCCTGAGCACAGGCATCAAATACCCGACACCGCCATTATACGCTCATTTCAGGTTAATACTCGACTGATGCTGCTACATCAATCTAACGACTGACGGTGTCGGACATTAAAGTTGCCCGCCGTTGAGGGCTACACATTGCCGAACGCATTGTCGGTCTCTACAAGATTACCGCAAGTAAACGAGAAATATTCTTCGACCAAAAATATCGAAATTACGTAGTAAAACGAAAGAATATTTATTCACGTAGAATCTCTTCCTTAAGAACATTTTTGGTTGGATATTGGGACATGCACCGTACTGAAGATGTAAATCAATATTCTATTTAATTGACTTTTATGTCGATATAGTTGAAGTTTATGTTAATAATCATCATTCTGCCTTATCAATTTTCATTTCCTCGTTATATTCCAGAATTAACTACATTTTCGAAGCAATTAAAATCAAATTCAATTATTATATTCTAATCTTATATTTTCCTTCAAATTGAATTAATATGACTTTAAAATAAGGCAAGATATAAATTAAGTGATAATAAAACATCGAGTATTCATATATACAGTTTCCATAAGTTTCCTATTGAAGTGGCCTTACATTGTATGACGCTGTCGCGGAAAGACCGGATATAAACTCGCCCGTAGAAAAAGAAAAAAATTAGGGTGAGTTTAAAGGTCGTCTCGTAAGCGAGTCATTTCGAAGCCTCTTTCCCCTGTTGTCGGCGTTTCTCTCCGCGAGCTCGCCACCGAGGAAATAACTGCGAGTCGTAAAGTCTCGCAAACCGCCCTTCGAAAGTCGTCGCCGCCGCCGCCGCCGCCGAACCGCATCGCGGTGAACG